GAGGCAGGTGACTTGCTTGAGCCCAGGAGTTGGAGGTTGCTGTGAGCTGTGATGCCATGGCACTCTACCCAGGGGGATAGCTTGAGGCTCTGTCTGAAAAACAAAAAAATAAATTAAAAAAAAAAAGCAAACTCTGTAACACCCCTGGTTGTTCCATTATAATGTGAAGTCTCATTTTTCCTGATCTCCTGTTAAACCAGATTCTCTTAATGAGTATGAGTTATAGGAGTTATGAGTATAAGTGACCCTTTAAGCCCTAAGTAGTCTCTCGTGCATATGCTTTTTTAAAAATTAATATTCCATGAAATAGAAAGTTATTTTGATAAATAAGTATCCTAGATAGTATCTCCTTTTTTGTTTAAAGTCTGCTATATTTTCTGTTTCCTTGATTGATTTTTTAGATCCAGAATATAGAAAATTTTTGGAAAGTTATGCCACAGATAATGAGAAGATGACATCTACTCCAGAGACGCTGCTAGAGGAAATAGAAGCAAAAAATAGAGAACTAATAGGTAAGTGGGCACAAGGAATTAGGGCAACAGCTTTTTCATCACAATACCCAAGTTTGTCTCCCACGTCTGTCACTTGCTAGCTGTATGATGTTGGGGAAGTAACTAGCTTCTCTGAGATTGTTTCTTCTACTGTAAAATGTAGATGATAATAGGTGCCTCACAAGATTATGAGAATGCATTGATAAGATAGGAAAACTTCTCTGACCTATTTTGTGTCATACAACTGTATTATAAATATAAAAAGTTTGAAGACTGCTGGGCGCGGTGGCTCACGCCTGTAATCCCAGCACTGTGGGAGGCTGAGGAGGGAGAATCACTGGAGCTCAGGAGTTGGAGATTTGCCTGAGCAAAAGTAAGACTCTGACTCATGAAAAAAATGGAAAAACCCAGGTGGGCTCCATGGCCAGTGCCTGTAATCCTAGCGACTTCCAGAGGTTGAGGCAGCGGGATGCCTGCAATCTGTAGTCTGAGGTTGCAGTGAGCTACCAAGCTACTGCACTCTGCTCAGGGGCATAGGGTTGGACTCTGTCTCAAAAAAAAAAAAAA